GCAATTAAGTGGATGAGAAGCCCATTCAAGCTACTGAAGGCTCGACCATAGATTGCAGCTCTTAATACAATTAATGTGGACAGATGATCCATGGTCATTATTTGCTGCCCAAATTGGTTCGACAATTAAGGTTAAGACATCGACAATCGACCCGAATGCCCTTTGTTTTGGACCAATGAAGACAACCACACTCTTGTAGAGACGATCATAATCGACAAATTAGGGGTGTCAATTGCGAGTCATGTCTTGCAAATAACTAAGATAGAGGCAAAGCACGAATTTTATTGCAGAGGACAACAAAGCTGGTGAATAGGGCGGAGCCGCCGGTCGCCAGTGTTGTACTCGAGGAAGAGATTGTACTAGTAATGCGTGACGAAGAGATTGTACTCGACGACGGTGTCGCCGGTGTTGGTGTCGAAGCTGTACGTCCTGGCCTGGGCGTAGCCGCGGGCCAGCCGGAACAGCCCGCTCCCGCCCACCACCGGCATCTCCCGCACGCCGGAGAATACCGCGTTCCGCCCCAGTACGGCGATCGTGCTCCCGTTGTACTTCCCCTCGACGAAGGCGAAGTTCATGGCCATGAGCAGCGCCGACTCCTCCTTGGAGGCGAAGGCGTAGAATCCCTGGGCCCGCCCGACGAGCCTCGAGGTCAGCTCCGGCCCCAGAGTCACGGGGTCGTCCATCATCACCACCACGCCGAACGCGGTGGTCGACGCGTTCGACGAGGCGGCCTCCGCCACGCGCACCGCGCTCGGGCTCGGCCCGCTGATCACGTCGTGCCAGTAGAACCGCAGGTGGCTCAGCTTCTCGCGCACCGGCTTCTTCACTGCTCTCTGGCTCTGCAGGAAGCCATGCGCCTCCTCCTCCGCCGCACAGGCTACAGTGAACAACACCGCAGTAAACGAGAGGAAGAAGAAGAGGGTGGCAGAGGGAATGTAGAGGAGTCTGGCCATTGGGGAACTCCGGAGAGTGCTCAGGGCGAGGAGTTCGAAGAACTCGGTGTCTACATAAAAAAGGGAGAACGCGAAAGGTGGTCAGTATCCTTTCTCGTCTGAAAAGTTGACAGAACTGGCAGGGGTTGGTGGGTGGATTGGTGGTTCTCGGGCTTTGGCTTCTGAGGCGGTGGCGTAAGAGGAGGAACAGCTGTAGTCCGCCATGGGTAGGCTATCATTGCTCTGTTTCATGCGGAAAAAGCTCGGAACAACCGCTTGGCCATGGCGGTTTTGCTTACACAACTGGATCGAGAAGACAAGAAGATGATGGGTTTTCAATTTATTCTTAGAAATTTCGTAAATATATTTTCTCTATTGAGAATAAAAGATGGTAATATCTCTAAAAACATGATATTTTTCGATGAGATCATTACTAGGAGGAGACTAACCAACAACCTCTGGTACCTGCCACCGTCGCACCAGCAGACATTGCTCTCTTGACATGCTTTGTCGTCTGGGAAGTCGTCGTCATCATCCTCTGGATGAGATATTAAGAGTCTTGATTCTTCAGAGTTCTCTAAGGAGAGGTCACTGGTCACTCTCATCTTTCCCTGCAAGGATACATCGTTTTGCTTTAAAATTCGGGCTCGCCATAGACGATATACCGTGACCTCGATGATTGATGGAGTAGAAGCGAACCTGATCGATTCCAGTCCAATAACCCCATGATTGATTATATAAGTGACATTGTTGTAGAAGATAACAGAGCTCGTGATGAGGCCTGACATGCGAAAAGAGACGAACTAAAACGAAATCACTAATGATGGAAGACGATGACACCGTACACCACCACGGCAACGTCCGTCGTGGGGTTGTTGAAACTATACTTCATGCCTTGGGCGTAGCCGCGGGCCAAAGCTGAATATCCCGCTCCCGCACGTTAGATAGTACCGTGACAAAAATGAAATATAAAGAAGAAGATTGCATTGATTGATGCCCTCGTAAGACGGCACTTCTGTCAACTACGTGAGAAACACGTAGTTGATGTCTGACAACTTGTTCTCGCATAAAGTGAAAGTCGATGACGATGTGTTTCATGCGTGAGTGGAATACCGGATTGGCACATGGATAAGTGGCTCCGACATTGTTACCATATATTGTAGGAGTAGAGTTGATATTAATGCCAAGTTCCTTGAGGAGATTCATGACCCAATTGAATTCTGCAGCAGTGGTGGCAATGACATGGTATTCAGCTTCAGTTGTAGAACATGCAATTGTCTTTTGCTTCTTGGAACTCTAACTTATCGGATTAGGTCCAAAGAAGATAATATATCCCGATGTGGATGTTCTGTCATCAAAATTCCCTGTCCAATCAACATCAGCAAAGGCATGGAGATGAAGGGGAGAGTGTTTGCAATGATTGATAGTTCCGTGAAGATATCGCAATATTCGTTTGACTGTAGACCAATGCATAATAGATGGTCGATGCATGAATTGAGATAATTTATTGACCACAAATGAGATATATAGATGGGTGAGCGATAATTACTGTAAGGAGCCAAGGACTTGATGGTATTGAGTTGGGTCTGTAACAAGGCTTTCATCACATAGTTTGGGCGACTCGCTAGTAGACATAGGTGTTGTAACTGCCTTTGCATCTTGCATGTTCGTTTTAGATAATAGATCTTGAATATACTTTCGTTGTGATAGGAAGAGCCCGGAAGATGTATATGTTGCTTCTACTCCCAAAAAATAGCTTAAGGTTCCTAGGTCTTTAAGAGAGAATCGATCTGCTAAATGCTTGAGGAATGCCTTGATTTTCATAGGATTATTGCCTGTGACAATAATATCATCTACATATATCAGAAGATATAATATATTGCCACTTTGGTGATGAAGAAATAAGGAGGTATCAAACTTAGAGTTGATGAAGTCAATTGATACCAAAAACGAGCCAAGTTTGGTGTACCAAGCTCTTGGAGCATAACAAAGTCCATAAATAGCTTTTTGTAGTTTACAAACATGCTATGGATATTAAAGGTGAATGAAGCCAAGAGGTTGCTGCATGAAGACATCGTCAGTTAGGGTCCCCTGTAGAAAGGCATTGTTAACGTCGAGTTGACTTAAATGTCAACTTTTTGAGATGGTCAAACTTAGAATAGTTTAACAACAGGGTTTAATGTATATGTGAAGTCAATTCAATTTGGGCAGTAAAATGGCTGTCGAGGTGACACTGTACCAAATTTAGGAATTTAGACAGTTGGGAATTTGGAGATGGTTCTGAATGCTGCTTGTCAAGGCGAAGAAGGTGGAGCAGAGGACATCGACTTGGGAGAAGAGCAAATCATTGTTGTTGCAGTTACTGCGGCAAAGAGGGCTGCTGTGGCTGCGGCAGAGAGGGCTGCTGTGGCTATTGTGGCAGAGAGAGCTGCTGCGGTTGCTACGGCAAAGAGAGCTACTGCGGCTGCTGCGGCAAAGAGAGCTGTTGCGGCTGCTGCGACAAAGAGAGTTGCTGTGGCTGCGGTAGAGAGGGCTGCTGCGATTGCTATGTCAAAGATGGCGGCAACGGCTTGCTCGAGCGAGATGCGGGAACGAGGATAGGTAGCAGGCCGAGGAGCAATTGTGAGGCTGCATCGGCTTTGCTTCTGCAAGAAGAGGCAGAGGAAAGGCGATAGTAAAAAATACCGTCGGCGTAGGGAGGAGTAGAAGGCGTGGCGATGCTGGCCCTTGTTCAGCTTCGAAGGAGGCCGACGCCCGTGGAAAACGCTGCAGCGATAAGAGCTTGACGGAGGAAGATGCCGCTATTGCTGATTATCTACAGCAACAGCACTTGATGGCAGTAGCAGCGACGGAGTGAGGGAGCTACTGAGATGGAGTCGCGGTCCACAAAAGTAGCCGAGATTCAGTGGTGGCCTTCACACTGATAACTCTGATATCATGGTAGAAATGAATTATAAAAAAAAAGATTGCATTCATTGAAACAATACACAATACTCCATATTTATACATGTAAGCGAGAATTTTAGGAGGATTTTTCTTAACATATTTACGATATCTTATGATAAGGGTAATAATCGCGACATGACATGCCACGACGTCAGCCATACCTATATGACGCTCTGTCCCAAAAGAGGGCAATAATGCCGACGCGATATGCGCTGACGTCACCCACTCTCAGACAACGATCCCTTCGTCGTCTGACCCGGCATGCTTGACCGAGGCGGAGGAACACGACGACCGAGGTTCGCCCATATCCTGTGGTAGCTCGGTTCTCCACGCAACGTCAATGGCAATGTCAGACGCCATCAGAGGTACGATCCTACCTCCCGCAGGCAGGCACGTCAGGTAACACTAAATTGCCCTATAAATACCCCCGAGTTCTAAACGAGCAAGGGGAGGACACTTCTTCATACAAAAATCCCTTCGGCATCCACTAACTTGATCGTCGGAGGGGTCGGGCCGAGCTTCTGACCCGACCTGTGTGCAGGTACAAGGGCGAGTTTGCATCTTCCCAGCGCCGCGGAAAAGCTTCACTCCCCACGCAATGTCCCGCCCAGACCACCTTAACCGGCCACCTCAGCTGTCTCGAGGAACGCCGCGCAGGAAGATGCCGCTATTGCTGATTATCTACAGCAACAACACCTGATGGCAGGAGTAGCAACGGAGGGAGGGAGCTACTGAGATGGAGTCGCGGTCCACAAAAGGAGCCGAGATTCAGTGGTGGCCTTCACAGTGATAACTCTGATACCATGATAGAAATGAAATATAAAAATGAAGATTGCATTGATTGAAACAATACACAATACTCGGAGAATTTTAGGAGGATTTTTCTTAACATATTTACGATATCTCATCATGTAGTTGGGGAGATCTTGGCTGTTATAATAGAGGAACTAGGAACTTTGAACGGGAAGAATCCCAATCAGAGTGGATGGAAGCTATACACTGTCGTCTACAACTATGAGCTTAATCCTCGGATGACGGCTTCTATCCTGTTGTTCTATCTACCATTGCTCATAAGATTACTCGCACCAATGCGGTTTGCCGAACCTGCCGCTTATTGATTGAGAGACGAAAACTTATGCACGGAGTTTACAGCGACTATTGTAGAAGACGACGAAATAATGCCAAACCACTAGTAATGCATGACAAAGACATTGTACTCGACCACGGCGTCGCCGGTCTTGGGGTCGAAGCTGTGCGTCCTGGCCTGGGCGTAGCCGCGGGCCAGCCGGAACAGCCCGCTCCCGCCCACCACCGGCATCTCCCGCACATCGGAGAACACCGCGTTCCGCCCCAGGACGGCGATCGTGCTCCCGTTGTACTTCCCCTCCACGAAGGCCAAGTTCATGGCCATGAGCAGGGCGGTCTCCTCCTTGGCGGCGAGGGCGTAGAACCCCTGCGCCCGGCCGACGAGCCGTGACGACAGCTCCGGCCCCACCGTCATCGGGTCGTCGATCATGACCACAGTGCCGAACCCGCTGGCCGACGCGTTCGTGGACGAGGCGGCGGCCCGGGCCACGGTGACGGCGGTCGGGTCCGGCCCGCTCACCACGTCGTGCCAGTAGAACCGCAGGTGGCTCAGCTTCTCGCGCACCGGCTTCTTCACCAGCTTCTCGCTCTGGAGGAACCCATGCGGCTCTTCTGCTGCAGAAGCAAAAGCGAACACGACAGCAAAGAGGAAGAAGAAGCCGGTGGTAAAGGAAAAGCCACGGAGTTCGGCCATGGCTGCACCCACGCTGGAGAGTCTTCAGGACTCAGTGCCATATCCTTCTTAAAAGAAAAGGAGAAGTGACAGATGTGGCTGCAAAGGAACCATCGTCCATTGTCTGAACAGTAACCGGTCAAAAGTCCTGGATGTGCTGTAGTGGTTGGCTGCAAGAAAACGAGAAAAGCTCTTTCCATGGGTTGGTTAGCGGCCATCATTATCTTGCTTCATCAGGTCAAATAGATGCGTTGCTCTCTTCACATCAGGTCAAATGTGAAGGACCATACCGGCAAGTTGTTCTGCCTGCTCTAAGGATCGCATCAAATGATGGAGATATTGACGTACGTCAAGAACAGTGGAAATCGTCTCCAAAGCATAAAGAAACCAACCGAACTCAAAAGTCATTATAAGTTTGGAATTCTTTGTTGATACTTCTTGCCGTCCACAGCAATCTTAAATTAGAAGATTCAATATGCATGCATATCTTTACTTTGTATCTGAAGCAACACTCTTTAAAGTTTAGGCCACCAAAATGATTATATTTATTGGAAGATAAATTGTAGTTTATGTTTGAGAAGAAATGGTTTTCGATACCAAAAAAATAATAGAGCATCATAATTCATCTATCAGGTAATACCAATATTGAATGGATCTTCAAAGCCGAAGTTGGTTGAAATTTTCGATAATCTTAGTTATATTTTTGTAGACAATTGAATTGAAGAAGTCAAATGATAAAACGAAGAGAAGTATGATCAACAAAGGATGTCATTTAAGAGTCGTTGAGTTGCTTCTGGTGGTATCATCATTCAAGATCGGGGAAGAGGTAATGAAAGATTGAAAGATTTAAGACTTACCACGACAGAGAAAGAAGATGCGACGAGGTTGAAAGTGCTTGAGTTGTATAGGTCGGGAAAGAGGTAGCAGAAGATCGAGACCCGCCATAGTGAGGACAAGAGATGCTTGCTACGATGAGAACGAAAGTGCCTGAGTTGTGCGGGTCGGGAAGGAGGTAATGGAAAATCAAGTCCGATTACAGTGGGGGAAGAATATGCCTGTTACGACGAGTCTGAAAGTGCCCGAGTTATGCGGGTCTGAAAGGGGATAGTGGAAGATCAAGTCTCGCTACATCAATGAAGGAAAATGCCTATTATGGCAAGGTCGTCAAAACCTAATATGCTCAAGATGTGTAAGTCGGGAGAAGAGGAGGCTTGTTACAATGAGATCTCAAGGCGAAATATACCCAAGACATGCGAGTCGAGATATCTCGATCCACAATAAGGTGTTTGAGAAAAGCGCTCAGAATGTTTAAATCGGTGGGACCTGACACAAACCACACATAGAAAAACATGACATATATAGGTAGAAGGAGAAGATCTTGACTAACGAAAGAACCAGATGACATGCCTCAAACCCTTTTACGAGACTCTCGAGCCATGCCTTCTGGGGTGGATGAATGATAGTGAATATTGTAGCACCAATCATTGTTTGGCTACTGGCAACTACCATAGAGTTGATGTGGAAAACACATCGGCATCCGTCTGATGCAAAAAAGGGCTGAGATGACTAGCAATACTTGTTAGGATCGTATCAGTACTAAGAGGAGTAGGAGGGGGGGGGGGGGGGGGGGGGGGGGGGGGGGG